AAAAAAAAAAAAAAAAAACAGTAGCAGCAAATAAAGCCTAGTATCTCTTATTTATAGTTTTCTAACAAGTCCGTTACATAAATTAATTGAAGAAAATTCGAGAGCTCAGCCAGGTGTGCCTGCACACACTTGTAACCCCAGCACTCTGGGAGGCTGAGGCAGGATGACAGCAAGTTTTAGGCCACCCTAGACAACTCAGCAGCTTACTGACACCCTATGTCAAAGTTGTAAAGAAAGAAAAAGGGCTGGAGTTGTAGCTCAGTGCAAAAGTCCAGAGTTCAATCCCCAGTACTGAAAGAAAAAAAAAAAAAAAGAGAGAGAGAGAACTCATACTAATTGTTTTCTTTCCTTTCATATGCAGAAATAACTATCGACAATATGAAAACAACACTTTTAGCATTCCCTTACATGAGATTCAAACAGACCATCAGCACTCTCAAGCTTATCATGGCAAATAATAAAAGACCTTACCCTGAATCCATTCTTGTTTCTTCTTCTTATCTGAAGCACTAATTTCAAAGGTTTTATCAAAACATTTTATTAGAAAAAGACACTTCTTTCCATCTTTGTCAGGCAGAGACTAAACAGAAAGCACAATTAGTCCTTTAAAATTTTATTCTTAAGCATCTAAATTAAGTTCAATTTTCATTATTTAAGCAAATCTAACTGAAACTCAAGGTTGGTGAAACATAACCTATAAATGCTAATTACTGATCTAGTACTGCTGTTGCGGAGCACAGCGATTTTGGCACACCTGCCTGCATCCCCTGCAGGAGCCTGGAGGTACATTCAGGGCACTGACCCCTAGGACACGCAAGGCTTCCAAGCAGCGGTGACACCTATCCCCGCTAGCCGGGCCTCCTCTTGTTGTGTCAGGGGTACCGCTGCTGGCACCTGTGGCCCTTCCAGGCTCCTTCAGAGTACAGTGGCATGGCCTGTGCTATACTGTGCGTCTCTGCTTAGTTGAATCTAAGCAGGTCCCATTTGTGGGTGCTGCATACCCCACAACATTTATCTGTACCATTTTATTCATCAAAATGCACTACAGGTTGATTGTCAACACAGGTATTTTAAATGTTTTCAACGAATACAGATATTGTGGGATTTCATATACAAATCAGAAACTAAAAAACTCAAAAGAATTGATGTTTTTAAGGACTTCACCTCTCAACAGAATTAGCAGCCACAAATAAAGTATCCTGAGAGTCACTTAAAGAATTAAAATATGACACTCAATTTTTTTATTTATTGCTCTGAAGATGCCCCTGATATTTCAGTCTATTCGAGATTTTAAACACTGTTACCGAACAATTTTTCTGCTCTTTTATTCAATGAATGAGTCCTTAACTGTCCAAATAAATTAGAACTTAATCCCTACACAAAGCACACAGAAAACAAATTCATATTAGAAAAAGTTGTTTTCTGTCTTTAATTTTTAGTTCCAAAGTGTGAACTTGGGGATGCGCAAAGGACCCAGAAGACGGAAGATGAGAAGCTGCTCCGGCAGCAGGGGGCAGCACCGGCTAGGCATGCTGGGAAGGAATAGGCGCCTCACCTCCACACAGCAGCTCTCATCCAAGACAATGTCCCCTTTCTTATCTTTCAGGTCTTCACTCACATAGTAAGAAATTACGTTGGGTTTTAAAACAAACCAGCGTTCAGTCCAGTTTTTCCGTCGATGGCCTTTTTTCATCATGTAACCCTATGAAACATTAAATCTGAGTAAATGTTTGTCCTTTATTTGTGAGTCAATATTCCTCATACCCTGCTAGTCTCCTTGATTATGTGCTATATAGGGTACTGAACATGTGAATGTCAATGGTCTGTGCCCTTTGTGATCACGAACCCTTTTGGGACGGACGAAGGGTAGGGCCATGACGCCAAATTAAATCCACGCAACACGCACAGACCAGAGTTTGCATATAATCTCAGACATCTCAGCGACACCCTCCCCTGGATGTGCCATACAGATGAAAGAATGCTTCAACTTAAGAATCTTTCTGAGATATAGAATGAAATATTTATGATAAAATGTCTGGGATTTGCTGCAAAATAATGCAAGAGAAGCATAAAAGCAGGTGGAGCAGAATTAGGCATGGATGGCAGTAACTGGAGCTGGGCAACAGGTATACAGAAGTTCATTACACTATTATATTTCATTTTGAAAAAAGACTCCCTGAGCCAGGGACATAGCTCAGTGGCACAAGTGCCTGCCTGGCAAAAGCAAAGTCCTGACTTCAATTCCAAGTACCAAAAAATAATAAATTTTAAAAATAAATAGAAAAGACTCCCTGCCAGTGATTACTAGAAAAATTAGTATATTTTAAGTCAATGAAGAGCCGGCCTGATAGCTCAGCAGACTAAAGCGCCTGCTTAGGGCAGTGGCCAGGGTTCGATCCCTATAGTGCCATGCTGGCCCTGCCCAATTGAGACTGGGCATGGTGGTGCACACCTGTAATCCCAGCACTTGGGAGGCCAAAACAGGAGAATCACTATGAGTCCAATCTACACAGTGAGACCCTGAACACCCTGTAGACCATGCCCTAAATACGGGGGGGGGGGGGAGGTCAATAAAAATGTTGGCCAAGTCTACCTTCTTCACCAAAGACTCTATAAGGATTTCAAGGGCTGGCCAGATAGATCAGCAGATTAAAGCACATGCTTAGGCAGATGCAGGGACCAGGGTTCAATCCCCGGCCTGCCGTGCCGGCCCTGCCCCGGAACACACTGAGATGGCAATTGAGAGTGGGCATGGTGGCACGCGCCTGTATTCCCAGCACTTAGGAGGCTGAAAACAGGAAGGATCACTACAAGCCTGATGTGCATAGTGAGACCCTGTACTAAATACATATTAAAAAAAGAAAAGAATTTCTACCTCCTGGTACTAACCAACCTTTCCACCTGCACTCCTGCTGTTCTAGACTTAAGCTCTGCTCCAGAAGAGCAGGAAACAATTGCACTAGGAGTAAGAAAACTGGCTTCTAAGGTCATACTGAGACCTCTCACTCCCTCCCACACATCAGCCTCAGAGATGTAGAATTTAAATACTCACTTTCACAAAATGACATACTATTATAAAGTCCTTCAAGGTGTACAAAAACAGCTACCATTTTTTTTT